GACAAATTGAAGACTTTTGGTATCCACCCAATTGCACCTGAAAGCTATCAAGCTCAGCGAACTGTGTTTGTTGCCAGAATTAACAGCATCATGAGAGATAGCACAGTGAATGAACTTCTTGCTGACTTTAATGCCGAGAATTCAGAATTTCATGCTGTCCAAGCACATAAATTTTCTAAACCTGGCAACAACCAGGAAACATTAAAGTTAAATAACAGTGTGACTTTGTCAATGGTCCAAGTCGGACCGAAACGTCGTCGTAAGCTTCTCTCTTTTATGTGCGGGTTATTTGTGTAACATTAAAGTTAATACTTGAGACATCTGAAGAAGCCAAACTAGTGTGTCAAAATGGCTTCAAATGTTTTGGCACCAGATGTACACCTGACCAAATCTCTCTTGAGCGGTTTGCAGTGTTACACAATGTTCCAAATGTTACGCATTTGGTCATACCACCAACAAATGCATATGCTAATTTGCAGCATATGCTCTGGGCAACATTCTTTTAAAAATTGTAATAACAAAACTAAACCCAATGTGTCTCTGCAATGGAAAGCATCATGCTGTTTCTGCTATCTGTCCCGAGAGGAAAAAGGAAATGCAGAAACTTCTAGAAGCTAAGAAACTGTCCAATTCAATTCTAAGAAGAACACTCCCGAGGCACCTCCAACAATGTCCCAAACTTCCTTCCCAGCTTTGCCTGGATCTAGTGGGACTCCTCAGGTCTCTTCCACTGGTTTCAATGTTTGGAATTCTGCCCCTCTTGGAGTGCCACAATCTAACCCTCACCTACAACATACACAAACGCAACAAAAAGGTTCAGTCTCATCTCCCATGTCTCAGGTATCCTCAGCAGGGGATATGACGAGAGCACAACTAATGTACATGATGGCCAAAGGCATAGCAGGTGGTAACATTCAACTCTGCTCTAAGATTTTAAATGATTTTTTAAGGGCTAATGGGATCACTCCCATTACTATCCCAGATAAGTCAAGGCATTAGGCCACCCCTTTCAAACAAGAATATGTACCATATGTTTTTTAAAAAATAAGCCTAATTCATCCCTTGTCAGGGATCACCCCCCTCGCATACCCAGATGGTCAACCCCCCCTCAAACGATGAGTCATCCCGCCCCAAAATTTTGCCCCAGAGATTGATGCTTACTCTTCCGCTATTGCAGCAATCCGTTGAACGGGAAACTTTCCCGGGAAAATTCACCAAACCTAAAAATTTTTTCCTTTGGAGCCTCCACAGTCTCCCATTAACTCTCACGAGCCTCTGTTCCAAAACGGGAAAACACACCTCAGTTTTAGATGATGACTCAAATGATAATGTTCTGTTAATATTACCACTTCTAAAGAGGATGGTGACATTTTTAATAACTTGCAACTCTAAAAACTCCCCCCTTTCCCTTGACGAGCCCCAGCAGGGATAGTGTGTATACCAAACAACCTTACTTGCGGGCGTTCAGACCCCCAGTACACGTCGAAGTGCAAGAAATAATGGGGATTACAATTTTTCCAATTTAAATGTTCAACATTTCTTTAATAACCCGTTACCCCCTGAAGTTGAACTACATAATTACAATCTCGGTTATACTCTTGAATGAGACAGCTGCGGATTTGATCAGCATATTAAATTTACTGGTTACTTACTGGGAGAAATCGGAGGACCTATAGGGCGTAGCCATTTTATTTAAAATTGGGCCCTTTGCATTTAAAAATATTCATTTGATGAAGAAACTTTTTGCAATAAAAAATGTGACGTCTCATGGCCAACTAGTAAAGCAACTGGATATTTTCCCCCCGAGACAACAATATATAGAGCCCTTTTTCCTCTACATAGGATTTTAAAGCAGAATTTTCCCAAAACAATTTAGGGGGAGATTTTAATTTCATCGCCCGCCCTTTTTAACTGGGGAGGGAATCCACTGGGGATTTGAAGGAAAACAACTATTTAATATCATGCAGCCGAAATTTCTTTAAAGGGTCCATTCTTTAAATGTTATTGGCCCTCACCCGGGGACACCAGATATAGTCCTGACAAACAGAGACTGTGCCCTCTTTCATTTCGTACTCCCCTGGTGGAAACGTAGGATCTGACCATACCCATGTTTTTAATACAATACAAACTTCTCCATTTAAAATCCTGTACCTCCAAACCCCAATCTCAACACCCTAGGATTTGACCCCTTCAGGGATTTTTTCTGGGTGACGTGAAATTTGTCGTTGGAAAATTTACCTTCCACTGAAATTGACGAGCGATCAGGTCCTTTCACAATCGATATTGATGCTACTAATGAAACCCTGTCTTAGCTTCCACAAAGATCTACCAAAAATAAAACCCACGAGGGGAAATTAGAGACGTTTTAAAAAATTATCAAACAGAATGTTTGGGCTTTCAAATGCGAAAACCCCCCAAATAGCACATTGCACGATGAGGCAAGAATTAATTTTAAAATGATTAGTCATCACAAAAGTCTTTTGGAAATTGCTGTTTTCCGCTAACGATAAAAGGAGCCCGCAAAAAATTTTTGGGGTAAGATCCCACAACTTTTTGGGGGAAAGCCCCCCCCCAATACCTAAAATTTAACCCTTCCCCGATGAGGAGATAGTTGAGATTAAACTTGGAAAACCCCAGGGAAAAACTAATTAGGGTGATGTATGGGGGAAAATTCCTCCCACAAAAACAGTCGTCGATTTAAAAAATAATCACTTCAGGGTAAATGAATGGGGGAAGGAAATTAGATGTTTCAACAAAAAAACTCTTGAAGAGCCCCCCCCGCTTATAACCTATTACAATTTCTCGGGAAGAGTCAGGTTATTGGAAGAATGTGAAATAAAAAGCCCCTGGGCCTTCCTGGGAAAACAATGAAACAAATAAAAATTTCCCACCCCGAAATTGTAAACAGTCTTGGTTTAAAATTTTTTAAGCCATCTTGGCCCCAGGACATTTTCCAGTTTTTTTTAAAACTGCAGGATGATCTTTTTGCTAAGCCCAAATAAAAAAACCCATCTCAGGGGGAAATATAGACTATACTTACTTGAAGTCATGGAAAAATTTTTGAGAAGATCATTTTCCAACAATAACTACTATATGAAGTTTAATCACCTTTTTACTGAAAAACAATTTGGCTTTTGAAAAAACGAGGTACCCATCTGCGATAAATATTATTTTTGATGCAGTGCAAGTCTAAAACATCAGGGAATCTTTCCCAATTTCCACGAGATGTTATAAAGCTTTTGTAGCTTATGGGATGATGGTCTTATATACAAACTTATTGACCCACCAGCCTAAAAGGGCCTTTCTCAGATTAATATATAACTTCTTAAATCAAAGAAAAATCATTTTCCCCCTTTCACGGGGGCGACAGAGCCTTTTTCCCAAAAGGGTGGGTCCCACAAGGTTTTGTCTTTTCCAATTCTATTCATTTTTGTGAATGACCTCCTCAACCAAATTTAATGATACAATATAAAACCAAAATTTTCAGAGAGTTATCCAGTCGTCCTCAACTCCGTTCAGAAAATACAAGATGGGGGTCATAGAAAAAAAAAAAATTGAACTTGTGAACATCTAATTGGAAAGAAATGGAGAATTACGACTACCCCGACAAAATCCCTTTTTACACGATAGGATTTTTGCATCAACCTCGAAGATAAGGGGGTACTCATCAGGGTACACCTGTAGCCATTAGAAACCCTAACAAGATCTTGGGATATGAAATAGACAGGCTGCTCCACTCAACATCTCATTTAAATAAAAAGATCAACACAGCCAAAGTCGGTCTTAACAGTCTCTTTAGATTTAATCAAGCCCCTCAACATGTCAAAAAACATCTGTATAAAATGATAATAAGACCTATACTCGAATACCCATGTGTCCCAATGTCATTAACAACAAAGACCAATATGCTACGGTTGCAACGGGTCCAGAATAGAGCTCTCCGCTTCATTACGGGCACCAGGGGGAGAGACAGAGTTAAAATGGCAGATTTACATGTACAACAAGATATAACTGCCTTAAATGTACGCCTTGACACCCTGAAGAAGAAACAACTCTATGCAATGCAAGAACTCTACATGCCAGATAGAGAACATCCTCTCCAAGTTGAAAATACCACAGATCATATCATCAACACTCCTCCTCACAGGACTCAAAGAATGACTCTCCCACAGAGGGTCCGTCGTTTTATCCATAAAGACGATTACCATCGACCAATGATATTGAGCAACCTCCCTGCAAATGAAGATGATTGGGTAACACCAGAACCCTTCTATGTTTACTAAGAAAATCATCGCCCCCAATTAGGGAGACATCTTGTATAATATTGTACTGTTAAAATTATGCTACATTTACTATGGCGGGACACCACCTTGTAAGAAGCTATTGTGTCAAGTAATTCTTTATAAACTGGCCAGAAAATTATTGCCTTCAGTGTCGTTTAAATATCCGTTGTGCAATCGCAAAAAAAGCAATTGCAACTTGTATATTTACTACCATTTCAGAGTCATGTACTTATATATCTGTTATATCTATGTGACTCTGATAGGTTAGTATTATACCCCTTCAAGAATATTATATTATTCCACATACACTTTCTAAATTACACCAAAGTGGTTGGGCCACTTACCATTTATATCCTACCTCTCTCCCCCCTCCCACCCTTTTCCAAGAATTCTATCCTTACCCATCCTTCATCCTTACCCATCTTACCAAAGCTCTGGTCATAAGAAGAAGACCTGACTCTCCACCTTATAAATACACATGTCCTATTCACCCAGATAGTTCTCCTTTTTTCTTGTGTTCTTATCTGTCTGTGACTTGATAAAGCCACTGTGTGGGCGAAACGTTGTCAGTAAAAGATTGCATTATACCGCATTTGCGTTTATTTATCCAATGTGAAGGTATTTTATACCATTTATCACCATCTATTCTGAGGAGTTTTAATAGCCATAGGGGGTTCAGCATTTGCCTGTAAATATGATAATAATAGACATACTGACCTTCCAGTAAGCGAGGGTCTCCACGGTGGTTCTTCTCGGGTCTTGATACACTAAGGTCTGCAGGTGCGTAGACAACGTCTCTTCCTGCCGCTGGATTTGAAAAGTTGCGTAAGGGTATATATCTTCTGCGTATTCTGAAAGAAACGCCACCAAGTCAGTTCAGTTAATACAAGAATAAAACTCACATAAGTCCTGTTCCCTGACCAGACCTTGCGGGGGCGCTGACCCCCGGAGCACCCTCCAGGTATACCGTAGCTAGAAAAAATGTTTAAACCATGGACTGACTGCATCGTCTTCACATCTCTACTGCTTCTGCTAACTCTTCTGTACTCAACTGAAGAAGCCTATTGTATAGGCAAAACGTTTCGAAAAAAAGATACCTAACAGTTGCACATAAGTCTTATCAACTTTAGCAAGATATGTGATTATATCAGCATTTATGTTACAACAAATATCAATAAGTGTGGCCATACAAAATAACTTTTCATCAGGTCATAAAAGGTGATACGTGGTAAGCCATCTTAACATTTCGTAAGCCATCTCAACATATAAGAAGTGAGAGCACTATGGCAGACCTACTGGTCCATGCTAGGCAGGTCTAACTCACACCCACCCACATTCACTTGTGTACTTGCTTAACCCATTTTTAACGCTACTCGGGAGTTTGTTCCACTTATCCACAACTCTATTAACAAAACAGTACTTTCCTGTATGTTTAATTGTAATTGATTCTCTACCATCCATAAATGGTCTCAAATCTTTATCAACTGCGGTATGCTTGTGCCGGAAGCCAGGTGCAGGTATGGTAGGATTGTGGACAGTGTAGTCAGAGTGCACATACTGTGGATTCTTTCTCACATTGGTCTTCAGATGCATGATAGAACTGATGAATTGGCTTCAAAGAGGGAATAGATTGCAAATTTTGGGTTGTCAGTTAGCAGTTTGAGAAAAATAACACGAAAAGAACTTCAACTGGACTTAAGTGACGTAAGACTGAGGGAGACTGATACCAGTCAGTCCATCTGTCATCATTCTATCATGCAGGAGCAGGAGTCACATGTCTATGGTGCATCCAGTAAAATAAGCAGAGTCTTGGATATGACTACCGCCCGGCTACAGCTGGGATACAAATGTCTTTGGGAGGTTAAAAATCATCACCTAACGAAATGTAAACTTTACCAGATAGACAATTGTCACACCTTGCGTCACTGTGTACTGGAATGCGATAAAATTATTGAATTCAGAAACAACTCAGAAGTGTTGAAGATATTACAAACCATTCTGGGAAAACACCCTGACTTTGCTAACTGTAATAAAGCATTACCACTGTGTGTGTACTCGCCTATTTGTGTGTGTGTGTGTGTGTGTGTGTGTGTGTGTGTGTGTACTCACCTAATTGCTCACCTAATTATGGTTGCAGGGGTCGAGACTCAGCTCCTGGCCCCGCCTCTTCACTGATCGCTACTAGGTCCTCTCCCTCTCTGCTTCCTGAGCTTTGTCATACCTCTACTTAAAACTATGTATGGTTCCTGCCTCCACTGCTTCACTTGCTAGGCTATCCCACTTCCTGACGACTCTATGACTGAAGAAATACTTCCTAACGTCCCTATGGCTCGTCTGAGTCTTCAGCTTCCAGTTGTGACCCCTTGTTTCTGTGTCCCCTCTCTTGAACATCCTATCTCTGTCCACCTTGTCTATTCCCCGCAGTATGTTGTATGTCGTTATCATGTCTCCCCTGACCCTTCTGTCCTCCAGTGTCGTCAGTCCGATTTCCCTCAACCTTTCCTCGTACGACATTCCCCTGAGCTCTGGGACTAGCCTTGTTGCAAACCTTTGTACTTTCTCTAACTTCTTGACGTGCTTGACCAGGTGTGGGTTCCAGACTGATGCTGCATACTCCAGTATGGGTCTAACATACACAGTGTACAGTGTCTTGAACGATTCCTTATTAAGGTATCGGAACGCTATTCTCAGGTTTGCCAGGCGCCCGTATGCTGCAGCAGTTATTTGGTTGATGTGTGCCTCCGGTGACGTGATCGGTGTTATGGTCACCCCAAGGTCTTTCTCCCTGAGTGAGGTCTGCAGACTTTGTCCACCTAGCCTATACTCTGTCTGCGGTCTTCTTTGCCCCTCCCCAATCTTCATGACTTTGCATTTGACAGGGTTGAATTCGAGAAGCCAGTTTCTGGACCACATGTCCAGCCTGTCCAGGTCTCTTTGCAGTCCTGCCTCATCCTCATCCGATTTAATTCTTCTCATCAACTTCACATCATCTGCGAACAGGGACACTTCAGAGTCTATTCCTTCCATCATGTCGTTCGCATATATCAAAAATAGCACTGGTCCTAGAACTGACCCCTGTGGGACCCCGCTCGTCACAGGCGCCCACTGTGATACCTCTTCACGTACCATGACTCGTTGTTGCCTCCCTGTCAGGTATTCCCTGATCCATTGCAGTGCCCTCTCTGTTATATGTGCCTGATCCTCCAGCTTCTGCACTAATCTCTTGTGGGGAACTGTGTCAAAGGCCTTCCTGCGGTCTAGGAAAACGCAATCTACCCACCCCTCTCTCTCGCGTCTTACTTCTGTTACCTTGTCATAAAACTCCAGAAGGTTTGTGACACAGGATTTGCCTTCCATGAACCCATGCTGGTTTTCATTTATAATCTTGTTCCATTCCAGGTGTTCCACCACTCTCCTCTTGATAATCTTCTCCATGACTTTGCACACAATACATGTCAGAGACACAGGTCTGTAGTTTAGTGCCTCATTTGTGTTTCCTTTCTTAAATATGGGGACTACATTTGCTGTCTTCCATTTCTCAGGTAGTTGCCCAGTTTCAAGGGATGTGTTGAAGATTGTGGTTAGGGGCACGCACAGCATCTCTGCTCCTTCTCTAAGGACCCATGGGGAGATGTTGTCCGGTCCAACACTTGTTGGTATATTCCCTCTTGATGTTCCCTTCTGTGCTGTCTTCCCAAAGCCTTTCCTGTCTCTACTGTAAAAACTTCCTTAAATCTCCTGTTTAGCTCCTCACATACCTCCTGATCATTTCTTGTGAGTTCTTCACCTTCTGTCCTCAATCTGATCACCTGGTCTTTCACTGTTGTCTTCCTCCTGATGTGGCTATACAACAGTTTCGGGTCAGTCTTGATTTTCGATGCTATGTTATTTTTATACTGTCGCTGGGCATACTCGTTCCTGGCTCTGCTACTGATCTCCCTATTTTCATGTGTTCTCTGCCTTCTGTACTTTTTCCATTCTCTATTGCACTTTGTTTTTTGCCTCCTTACACCGTCGGGTAAACCAGGGGCTCGTTCTGGTCTTCCCATTGTTTCTGTTGCCCTTGGGAATAAACCTTTCCACTGCCTCCTTGCATTTTGTTACATATTCCATTATTTCGTTTACTGGCTTTCCTGCCAGTTCTCTGTCCCACGGAACCTCCTGCAGGAAGTTCCTCAGCCCTATGTAGTCCCCTCTTTTATAGTCAGGCTTTTCCCATTCAACTCCTGTTACTCTCTCCACTTGCAGCTCTACTATGTATTCAAAGCACAGAACCACGTGGTCACTAGCTCCTAGGGGACTCTCGTACGTGATGTCCTCAATGTCTGAACTGCCCAGGGTGAACACAAGGTCCAATCTTGCTGGTTCATCCTCCCCTCTCACTCTGGTAGTGTCCTTAACATGTTGGTGCATGAGGTTTTCCAGCATCACGTCCAACATCTTGGCTCTCCATGTTTCCGGACCCCCATGTGGCTCCAGGTTTTCCCAGTCAATGTCCCTGTGGTTGAAATCCCCCATAACCAGCAACTTTGCTCTGCTGGAGTGAGCTCTTCTTGCCACCTCAGCAAGTGTGTCCACCATTGCTCTGTTGCTCTCTTCATATTCCTCTCTTGGCCTCCTGCAGTTCTGTGGTGGATTATACATCACTGCAATGACCACTTTGTGCTGCCCAGACTGACGTACCTACTATGTAGTCTCTTTCTCCCGTCTCGTCTATGCCTTCCATGTTTTTTACGAGCAGAGCAACCCCTCCTACCCCTCTGCCCCTTCTATCTTTCCTCATGATCTTGTATCCTGGTGGGCAGATTGCATCTGTTATTGTCTCCGTGAGTTTTGTTTCTGTAACTGCTATGATGTCTGGGGACTTCTCATTGATTCTTTCTTGCCATTCCTCATGTTTATTCGTTAATCCATCCGCATTTGTGTACCAAACCTTCAACTTCTGTTCTAATACTGTAACTGTGGTGTGGGGGGGGGGGGTGAGACAGAGGGATCGGTGTGTGTTGGTTGGTTTGGATTGTTCAGTTGCCTTTGGGGTGTCGTGGCTGGAGTCCTTCTGCAGGTGTGTGTGTGTGTGTGTGTGTGTGTGTGTGTGTGTGTGTGTGTGTGTGTGTGTGTGTGTGTGTGTGTGTGTGTGTGTGTGTGTGAGTGGGTGAGTGGCCTAATTAGTGTTTGCATAAATAACTCATTACGACTGTGATGGGATCTAAACATGTAAACAGCTCATTAACTTTATAACGTATTCATTCATCAATACTTTGCGATCCAGTCCCTGAACCCATTATGTACCTGTCTCGGCTAGATATTTTTAGCATGTTATTTATGTCCCCTTTATTTAGAGAGAAACGGCATAAAATACCGACAAGATGATAAAGACACAAATGTGGACTTTATCAATTCACAATCTGTTTGTGACTAGAATTAATTTGGTATTGACAAGTTGATGAGACATATGCTTCACCTGTCGTCAAGATTATCAGCGCCTCATCTTTGAGAGTATATGAGTCTCCATACTGTTGCTTCAGCTCCACACTGTTCCAGACTATGGAACAAACTTTTCTCCAGGCTGAGGGACTGACCACCTGAAAACTACGTCTTTTAGGGTGGACTGATTATATCGTCTTTACATCTCTACTACTTCTGTTGCCTTCTTTGTATTAGATTGAAGAATTAGATACATGTGCAACACTTGGGTAGCCTTACTGAGGAAACGTATCGCCACACATTGGCTTCATCAGTCCTATACAAAGAAAAATGGTGAAGATCAGAAGGAGTTTGAGGTAATCAGGGACTGGTTACCTCAAGCTCCTTCTGATTTTCACCATTCTTATTTGGATAGGACATGAAGCCA